ATATAAGAGGTTTGGTAAAAAATTTAATAAATTACTTAGGATTCCCAACTCTTATATTTATCAATCCTGTACTATCATTAAAATTTTAATTTAATTTAGTCTCTTCATTTTCAATTGCAGCACTCAACCATCTATACATACTTTCAATTAAGAATAATGCTTGGGACCCCCTTTTGGGGGTCACCCCCTCACCCCCCCTTGCCACGTGGCGGGTGGTGATTGGAGGAGCAGGAAAAAAAAGAAAAAGAAAAAGAAAATATAACCAATGAGAGAGAGAGGGGGTCAAAGGGGGTGGGAGGAAAAGGGGGGATGAATCATTGTTGTTTAATTAAATTGCAATGTCACTCTTATGTCTATCTGCTATTTAACAAAGTTGATGAAACTTATTATTTGAAAAGGCGAATTACAATAACGGTCTGTATAGTTTGAGGATTGTCACTTTGACCCCTGACTTTTCAATTGTGACACATTTGACCCTGAATTTTGAATCTTGTTCCAAATAAGGACAATTGAAGATATCATTGCTTAACTTCAATGGCAAAATCGTCGATTTGATAAAATATAAATTAATTTGAAAAATAAATGTCAAAAAAATATTTTTAAATTTTTAAAAATTATTCTTCCCACTAAAGATAAAATTATGTAAAATTGATAAATCTTTTAAACATTTATTTATTTTTTTTACCAAATTAATTTTTATTATGCGTTTGAATGATGATCATGTAATGAGTGATTGTTTTTATTTTCATTAAATTAGTTTTTATTTTTTCAAAAGTTAAATACAACAATAATTTTGATATCATTATTAAACCAATATATTAAATCAAAAAATTCAAAGCTAAAAACATTTAATATATTAAATATACTAATTACACATTAAAATCTTAACAACCTCCATTACATGTTCATCATCCAAACAAAATAAAAATTAAATTAATTTGGTAAAAAAAATAAAAAAATATATGTCTACAAGATTTATCAATTTTACATAATTTTATCTTTGATGGGTAGAAATAATTTTTAAAAGTTCAAAAATATTTTTTTGACTTTTATTTTTGTCAAATTAGTTTATATTTAATCAAATTGACGATTTTGTCCTTCAGATTAAGCAATGGTACCTTCAATTGTCCTTATTTGGAACAATATTCAAAATTCAAGGTCAAATGTGTCACAATTGAAAAGTCAAGAACCAAAATGACATGAGTTCCAAATTATAGAGACTGTTAGTGTAATTCACCCTATTTAAAATATATGTGACATTGTTTTTTGTCTCTTTGTATCTTTACACTTTTATTAAAATTTTGCTGTGGTCTTTACATTTTTAAAAAATCTCAATTTAGTCCCTTAACTTTTAATTTTTGCTAGCGTTATTAATGATAGATGGACGGAAGGGTAAGAATGTAACTTGACTAAAAAGTATAGGGAATTGACTACTACAATTGAAAGTCAAAGGATCATAATAAAAAAGGAGGTAAATTACACTTAGTACACCTAAATTTTTACCAAAATCTCATTTTAGTTCTTTTAAGTCAAATTACAATCTCACCTTTCATCCGTCTACCGTTAACAAAGTTGACGTAACTTATCATTTGAAACATGTGCGGCATTTTTGTTATCTCATTAGCACCTTTACATTTTTACTAAAATCTCACTTTAGTTATTACATTGTCACCAAACTCTCACTTTAATCTCTCAATTTTCAATTTCCGTTAACTTTATTAATGGTAAATAGACGAAAGAATGAGATTAAAATTTGATCTAAAGTATAAGGATTGACGGTTATAATTGAAAGTGAAAGGATCGAAGTAAAATTTTAATAGAAGTTCAAGGGTACTAAGTGTAATTTATTCTTGAGTAATATTACAAACACACTCTTATCAATCTAGAAATTACCCAGAAATTAATCTCCACCACATCTCATATGAACCCCACATTACATAAATTAATCACCATCACACAACCACCCACCTAAAAAATTCTGAATGTGTAAGTTTGGGCTTTATTCTTTCCAAAACTAACACACTAGACATGTGTTATATGCAGATGAGAGCTCCTTAACAAACGGGTATTTGGACAGTGTCATAGACTGGACTCCAAAAGTGAAAAGCATCCGATTGGAGGACTTACCAACCTTCATTAGGACTACAGATCTCAATGAACAAATATTCCAATTCACAAACGGAGAAGCCGAGAGATCATCCAAAGCCTCAGCTCTCATTTCAACACTTTCGACGCCTAAGAGGGCGATGTTTTGGATGCTCTCTCAGCCATGTTCCCAAGTGTTTATGCCATTGGTCCTCTCCAGCTTCAGCTCAATTCTTCGATCCTGGATGGTGAATTGAAATCCATTGGATCTAATTTTTGGAAAGAAGAAACTGAGTGCATCAAATGGCTCAACACAAAGCCACCAAAGTCTGCGGTTTATGTGAACTTTGGCAGCATCATTATTATGTCGCCGCAGCAAATGGCTGAGTTTGCTTGGGGACTTGCTAACAGCAACCAAACTTTCTTGTGGATAATCAGGTATACAATGATCAAAATTTAATTTTAGTATGTTGTTTTGACTAGTTTGAACAGAAATTAAAACCTATATAAATGTGAATATATATTCTCAATAATAGAATAATTGCAAGTATATGCATATTAGAAACTCATCAATAAAAGGGTTAAAAGCTTAGTTGGAATAGAAATTTGTCATTGTAAAAAAAACATTAAAAATGCAAAATTCTATAGTAGTGGGAATGAGAAAAGAAAAAAAAAAATTGTTGCGTTTACGGTAAAAAAAGAAAATACGTAGTTTTATTTTTTCCTATCTATCTTTCCTTTTCTCCTTTATAGTTTATCATATTCTCTAATAAATTTATGATTTTTCTTATCGAAAAGTCTAGGAAACCAAAAAAATACCATGAATGTGAAATATATGGTATATATTTAAAGTTCTTAGCGTGAGGCCACACTTTAAATGAATCTTGGCCATTAATGTTGAATTTTAGATATTTTTCTCGTCTTTTTTCTTCTAGGATTCCAGATTGTTGTTTTCTTAGTTCACATCTTTTCTTTGACAAAAATAGACAAATAGGAATGACCGTTGTTCAATATTCTTAATAACTATCGAGACAACTCATCTATTTCGTAGTATTTCGGTATGTTTCAGTGAAAACATTAGAATTTTGATATTTCACTTCTATTTCATTTCGGTTCCCTCAAAAATGAAAACATTTTGACTCTTTTGATGGAAAATAAACAAAACTTTGCTCCTTACAGGTATGACCTTCTTGTTGGCGAGTCTGCAATTCTTCCACCAGAGTTTTGGGAACAAACTAAGGAGACAGGTTACATTGCAAGCTGGTGCTCACAAGAGCAAGTCCCAAACCACCCATCTATTGGAGGGTTTTTGACACACAATGGGTGGAACTCCACACTCGAAAGCATTTCAAGTGGGGTGCCAATGATCTGCTGGCCATTCTTTGCCAACCAGCAGATCAACTGCAGGTACTGTTGTGCTGAATGGGGAGTTGGAATGGAGATTGACAACAATGTGAAGAGAGATGAAGTGGAAAAGCTTGTGAGAGAGTTAATGGAAGGTGAGAAGGGTTTGGAGATGAAGAAAAAGGCCATGGAGTGGAAGAAAATGGCTGCAGAAGCTAATGGGGCTAATGGGGCTAATGCGGCTAATGGGTCATCTTCATTGAATTTGGATAAGCTGGTGAAAGAGGTGCTTCTGTCAAAAGACTAAGTTGAGATCTTCCATGTTTTCATGAATTGTTTGCTTTTGATTGTGCTTTTTGTTGTCAAGTGATATTGCATATGCATTCTCAAATTTTATAATGTTTGAAGTGATGGTGCATTTTTATTCAGATTGTAATATGGGATAAAGTGATCATAATTGATCTCTTGCTCGTTTACAAGAGATATTGTGGTGTTATTAAGTTGTCAGTCTTATGGTTTTGTTATTAATAAGTTGCTATTCTTATTATTTGGTTTCTCAATGTACAGTTAGATTTTGATTTTTAAAATAGATGAACGGTAGGTATTTCATGATTTGATTATAATTTTATTTGAAACCAAACCAAACTCTATGTACAAATAATTTGTTACTTACTATAAACATTCAAGTACCTAATTAGTACCCATAAAAGAGAGAAAGCCGAGAGGATGATGAGGAGGGCCAAGGTGCTGGGCAAAGAAGAGAGGAGAGGTTGAGTGGTGGTAAAGGAGATGACGGGTTTGTTGGAGAATAAATTTATACAAAAAAATTGCTTTTTTGTGACGGCAAAATGCTGTCGCAAATACCTCAAATGCTGTCCCAAAAGATTTTTTGCGACGGTAAGTGACTTTTTGCGACGGCAAGTAGGGGGTCGCAACAAAGGAGGTTGCAAAAGGGTTTTAGCGACGGCATAATGCCATCGCCTTTTTTCTGCGGCGGCAAAATGCCTTTTTTGCGACGGAAAAATTTTGTCGCAAATAACGCGTGAAAATCTAAGGCTCCGTTTGGTGGAGTTTTCAAAATCTAGACAGCACTGTGTTGCCGTCGCTAAAAATGTCTTTTGCGACGACAAAAAATACCGTCGCTAAAGGTTTATTTGAGACAACCATTGTTAAAGGACTATTGGCAACGGCAATAAAACCGTCGCTAAAGGCGTTACGTTTCAACCAATTCCCTATCTTTTGCAACAATAAAGGTGCCGTCGCAAAAAACTCTGGTTCAATTTTTTTTTTGAGAGTGTGCTGCCGTCTTAAAAAAAAAAAAAACTGTAATAAAATTATTAAAATTATGAAAATGACCTGTATTAAATGAAAAATAACTTTAAAAAAAATCGATAATTATATAATAATATAAAAAGTCCAGTATATAAATAAAAATTCATCCATAATTAAAAATATGAAAATGATCTTCCATTTTTTTTTTTTTACTGTCATACATTGTACAAGAAAGACTAACTAAGCAGTAATATAAAGCTAACAGAAGAAAGGGCATCCCTAGCATCATCTCACTAAAGTTTAGCAATAAACACATATATCTTATTCACATCTTCATGTCTGCCATGGCACAGATGATTTCAAATTAACAGAATGGAAAGACAAGGGAAAATTACAGCTCTCAACACCGCCTTCTCCACTACTTTCACACTATGCAGATATTTTTCCTTCAAGTCATCATCCGGTAGCCAATTACAAACCTTGAAAAATAAGGATTATATTAAAACTAGACTAAAACAAAAAATTTAAAACTAAAATGTGCATCCCTTGAAACCATCATTAGTCTAAATTATCAAGACACACCGATAGTTTTCCAAGTCACAAAATCATACACCTAAACGTAGGAATGGCAACGGGGCAGGGCGAGGCCGGGGATCACCCTCCCCGTCCCCGATCCCCGATTGTGAAAATCTCTCCGATCCCCGATGGAGAACCTACCACCCTCCCCATCCCCGCCCCCTACCGGGGATCGGGTTTCCCCGACCCCGAAAATTCCCCGCCCCCAAATCTGTTTCAACTCCCCCATCATCAACAACAACAACAACAGAATCATCATCATCGACAACGTCAACCGAATCATCAACACCAACATCAACATATCAACAAAAATATCAACAGATTATAAACAAAAAATTAAAAAAATGGACAGATACACAAATAGATTAAAAAATAGACACAAACAGATCTGAGATCTGTGTCACAGAGAGAGAGAGAGAGAGAGAGAGTGGACGAGAGAAAGAGAGAGATCTATGTCACAAACAGATCTGAGATTTGCGTCACAAACAGATCTGAGATCTGCCTCCGACGCCGACGCTTCCCCCTATACACGATCGGACTGCTTCCCTCCGACGTCGATTGCCTCCGACGCCGACTGTCCCTTCGTTATTGCCTCCGACGCCGACTGTCCCTTCGATCTACTGAAAGAGAGAGAGGGAAGATAGAATAGAGAGAGACGAAGTGGAGAGAGAGGGGGTCGGGGCCAGAGAGAACGATAGAGTTAAGAGAGAGAGTAGAGTCAGAAAGGGATTAGAGAGTGAGATCACAGCTATATTATATATATATATGCATATAATTAAGGGGTTTATTATATATATACATATAAAGGGTATAAACGTAAATTTATTTCGGGGATACTAGGAGATGGGGCCGGGGTCGGGGCCGGGCCGGGGCTTGAACACTGATCACCGTCCCTGGCCCGAAACAAATCGGGGATTGATTTTCAAATACCATCTTCTCCCCGTCGGGGGTATTTTTCGGGAAAAAACCGCATAAATCGGGATCGGGATCGGGGATCCCCGCCGGGTCGGTTTTAAATTGCCATCCCTACCTAAACGCCAATCCCGCAACAGGTGACAAATATCAAATGTCTGAAATAAAAGTCACTACATTAATATGGCAATGATGCTTTACTTGGAACTGATCTAATCCAAAGACAACACAAAAATGGTCAAACACAGACTGCTGAGTCCCAACTTTATTTTCCATGCATTGCATGATTGGTGAATTAGTTCCCAGATCATATGCTCTTGCATCATTAGATTTTGTCAAGTTCTTCCTTTTCTTCTGGCCAAACTTTGATGGCGTGTTACCTTCAAAGCCTCCAGGCAAATAATAAGTGCTTGTTTCACCTTCATCCTCTTCATATGCACCACCTTGAGATACATAGTCTAAAAATTATGGAACTAAAGTTACTGAGTATACAAAATTAATCAACAAGAAAAGCAGAAAGTTACCATAAAAGTCAAAGCAATACCTGCTGCAGCATCATACATAGAAGTCTCTACTTCTTCTTGGATGCAACTGCCAGTTTTCTACGAAGAAAAAAAAAAGAGAGAAGAGAAAGATTCAAATGAATAAACTAAAGGAACTAGGGGGAGAACGATAAAAATTTAAAAGCATAAAAATAAAGAAAGCAACCAGTAGCATAAGTTTTTGCCCATCAAACTGTACCAAAGAACATGCTATATGAAGAATGATATTCATGTCATCTCCAATTATATATTTTTTTGCCATAGAATATAGTAGGTAGAAGAGGCTGAAGACCTACAATATCATAGGTCAAAAGACTCCTAAAATGTTTAAGGAACAATAGCCTCCTGGTACCTGTTTCATGTGCATGATTCTCTTGACTGGAATTTTAAGTTAAAACCACAAATATTTTCACTAATTCCGCTGACATCACTCACATTAACACCGCTCCATCTAAGCTTGCAGTACACTCCACAATCTTTACTCATCCTACTCGCCTATTCAGTAACAAAATGAGGAAATTCATGGGCCTTGAAATACTTTTTTGACAAGTAAATTTACATTAGAAAAGCACCCAAAAAAAGAAATCGGGGACGCCCTTGAAATAATTTTCAAATACCTGATCTACCAGATAATATTGGCAATTTTACTCACGCCATAACCACTGGAACAAGGATCCTAAAATCTCATGCCAAAAAAGTTGCATGTTACATCAAACTTCAAAGATATTATAAATGAGTTCTAACCACCAAATTCCACTGACGAATGTAAAAAATGTATACTCAACTATTACTGTTCTTAAATCATGGAAGCATCATCAATACCCAAAAGTATTTATTTTAGAAGCTAGGTTATATTCCAAATATTTTTAGGTAGTTAATTATGCCTGGACAGAGACTTGTTCCTATTTGCTGTGGTCCAATTGTTCTCTATTTGCAGATATATCTAACTGATTTTTATGCCCATTCCACCTTGGCCGTTGCTATCTAGTTTCTGGAACAAAGTAACCCCCATTTCAGACAAGGACTAGAGCAGAATTGCAGAAATAGATTTAGTAGTATGCTATTGAAGCTCCACTCAAAAAACTGATTAGCTCCTAAAGAATATCTGGTAAGGAACATTAATATCTAACCACCTTCCATCAAGCTAATTTAAGTTGGACCTCAAGAAAGGTAGTTATCATGCAGTTTTCAGAATTCAGAACCTCATGAGCTTATCAAGCCAAGGTCAAGCCTGTTTAAAAAATTAATTAGCTCAAAGAAAGGGATTTGGCTCAACTCATCTATCTCACAAATGTTCTTAGGCATGCTTGGAAGTAAGCCAGTCTCAGCAACATTCAAGAAGCTAGGTCTATCTGAAAGCCCTAATAGTGAAGATTTCTTGCCCAACAAGCTTACTCGATCTCATTTTCCATTTATAACAAAGAACATTCATCAAAATGGAAAAATAGAAATAATAAAAACAAATGTCAACCCCTCCAATAGCATTGGCAGTATGCCCGTGCTCCATTTCACACACAATCTCTCCCTGCACCATGAAATTTCTTAATTATTCAACTTAAGTGGGAGTACAGGATGATGTGGCAAGATTTACTTTAATCATATTTGTAAGACAGATGGGGGGATTAAAATTCAGTCATGGGAATAGAAAGAGCGAGCGAGCGCAGAATGGCCTCGTTTTCTCTAAATATCAAGAGAGAGCTGCTGACAAAGAGCAGAGAGATATTAAAATCGCATCAATGATGTACATTTAACCCTCCTCAAAAACTTGAGCTGCTTCTTCACTAATCAAAGTTTCTCATGGAAACTCAAACATACTATCCAGGTAGTTTTTTTTTTTTTTAAATATATGAATCTATGATCATTGAAAAACTATATTGTAGACACTACCTTGACAGAGAGGTAAGAGTTTTAATTCTTATTTTGACTAAGCCCTACAAAAGAATGGATCATATAGACTTGGAAAATGGAAATATTTGTATAAGTTATACATTTTTATACATTTTGTCACCACTTGGTGGAAAATAGTTAATTTATTCCATATAACAAACACAGCTATGAGCAACATGTTTACCTCAACTTTGGCTAAATGAGATTCTATTGAATTTCTGTATGTTTCCATTGCACCAGGGGGCACCACGTAGAAGAGGTTTTCCTGCAAAGAAAAAAAACTCAATGTTGAACTTTAGAATGAAAAGACAAAAGTACAACAAAAAGGAATACAAAATTTCTCTCCCAGGTATCAAATTCAGACATCCTAAAACAGTTTGATCAACTCATGAGAGTGAGAGAGAGGTTTCCGGGGTCAAATTTAATTGTTTAACCAATAGGGCAAAAGTATGCAAGTGTCAATCCATACTTCTGTAAGGTGATCCTTCCACGACAGAATGCCCAAATCAGATACCCTGTCAGGTGTTGCCGGAGCTTCAGCCAGGCCAAGCGGCACAAGGGAGGTATTATTCTTCAGAAACCTCACTGCATATCCCTGAACAGCACATACAAAATCTCTTCCAGAACATTGCAGACTGCTCGCCGCCATTGTTGCCGATCGCCGATCGTCGCTAGCCATCACTGTCGCCGATCGCCGCTCGTCGTCGCCTCCGTGAGAGAGAGAGACTGTTGTTTCGAAACTTAGGGCTCCGAAACTTGGGCTCTACAAACCTGAA